CCGTGAAATGAAGACATGATTGCTAATCACAACGCACAACACGACACAGTAACAAAAAGAACGGGAGAGGGTGGGGGTAATCACCAAGGCAGAGCTAAAGTGACTAACCATTCATCTACAGTCATCTAAAACACAACAAACACAAAGGTACTGAAATTTGTCGAGGCTCTAGCCATTCGTATTCTCAAACCCTATCTATGCAAACAACGTGAACGGTTAGTCACTTTATCTCTGCCTTGGTGATTACCCCCACCCTCTCCCGTTCTTTTTGTTACTGTGTCGTGTTGTGCGTTGTGATTAGCAATCATGTCTTCATTTCACGGCAGTTATCTCACTGACTATATAAAATGACTTTGACTGCAGTATGCACGTGTACAGATGCAGCGAAATGACCATGGATACATTGTGTAAACCCATGTTTCTGACTTCTCTATTCAAATTTGTGACGGGAAAACATTGCTTCCAGTTTCTCAAACGTCGTCTCCCACAAGTGGATATGTTTATCAAGGTTGGCTAGTCCTGTTCAAGGCGAAACGTTTTAGGCAACCACGTTCGCCCAATGGAGCAACTGGTCGATCTCCATAGATTACGTTGGCTGGGGCATGCCACCTAATAGGTTTAGGCGCCTCAGGTGGTCCTCAAACTGCTGAGGGAGTATTTCGTGATCTGGCATACTTTGGATTTGCTTCGGAGTTTGGTGTCCTCCGGGTGCCGTGTTATGCCTAACGTGTACTGCTTCGAAGAAACGTCTGAAGATTTCTGCTTTCTCCGAGATAGCCAGGACTGGGTGGTTGCTCTCGTCCTTAAGAGCTCCTGTCGCCGTACACAACTTTGAGTTGAGCTTGTACGTAGTTGAAGAATGCCTAGGGGCATTCTTTTATCCTCCGCGCCAGTCTCGTTTCGAAGGCCCCAAGGCAAGCCGTCTGAGCGCTGATCGCCCTATTTCTCTCCCTGAGGTACTGGAAATACCTTTGTTGACTACGTGTCCTGAGGTATTGCCTCCAAGCTTGACGCTTTCGGGTTTGTGCCTTCGCTACCCTGCTGGACCACCAGGGGAGTTTGTCGTTTCTNTAGAGGTTGAACTTAATGATGGTCCACAGTCCTTCTTTAGTGTTGAGCTGCGCACCTCAGCGGCTCTTTTAGCGAGGGAGTTACTGTTTATTTGTGGAAAGCTCTCCTCCATTTTATGTACGGATTTGGGCCATCTTCCTGTAGAAAGAAACGCAAGACCACATGGTCAATGCTACTTAGTGGTAGGGAGGTTTCCAAGTCGGCCACGTCATTTGGATATTTACTCAGGACTAGGTCTAATAGCCCAGGATTTTGCCCGTTGCGATAACAGGTGAGTTGATTGACGCTGAAACCGTTTCTTTTTAACGACTCGATATCTTCATTCGGTCGAAACCAGGTTTCGGTTATCGCTATGCCGTCGGAGTGAATGCACTCCTAGGTTAATTCACCCCATTTGTTCCTCAGGCTGCTTGCTGCTGAACACCCGCAGGCCTGATTTGTGGCTAGGGGTAGGAACTTTGGGATAACACACGAGCACTAGACCCGAGTTCGCCCTCCTTTTTTACATTGGAGGGCTTACGGGGTATGCGAGGCGTTTCTAGCCTGGGCTTGCGATTTAGTTTCGACGGCTTGGGTGCGTAAAGCGGGCCGACTAGTGGGTGGTACAGTCGCAGTTCTCCTGGTCACCACCTTAGGCGGTGGCAGAGGGTAACTTCATTGGTGTTACTTTGGGAAGCAGTTTTTCTGTGAGACCCTTGGTAGCATCGTCTGGTTCAACTGATATTGCCCCGTTGATCTCTGCCCTCAGTTGGGCAGAAGCTGCGAGGAAAAAATCTCGGTGCTGAGGGTTGCTCAACTCGACAAGCACAGACCTCTCCTTATTCCCTTTTGGAGACCATTTGCCTAGCCGTGTCACCCTCTTGATGGTTAGGTGAGGAGGAGTTTAATTCAGTTTTCACCGGACGATTTGTGGCTCTTGCCTATCCATCGTCCAGATTCGTGTGTTGTTCGCGAGTTTACCTGGCTTCCAACACTTCGATATGCAATTTTTCTGAAAGGCAGAATAGTGTGGTGCAGTACCACATCTTTTGTGGTTAGGTTACAGGTGGTACTAAACGCTTACCTCAAGGAAAACCGCTTTCCAACACTCATCAAGTGCCTATTTAAACGCATCTACAGTACTACAGCTTACCACTACCAGCGGCAACCGGTTCCACAAGGGAATCACCCTGTTAGCGAAAAACGTTGGCCTCAGTTGCAGTTTAAAGTGGCTTCACTGCAAACTGAAGTTGTCCCCGCGTGCCGCTATGTGGAACCCACGAGAACAGGTCGTCAAACCTAAGGCCAGATATAACCTTGACGACCTTAAATGTCTTGATTAGGTCTCCTCTCATCCGCCTCCGTGTGACGGAGAACAGATTTAAATCTCTGAGCCGCTGTTCATAGCTCTTCCCCGTTGCCCAGCTATCATTCTCGTGGCTAGACGTTGAATCCTAAGGTATTGACGTCCTTTCGAAAGAACGGAGCCCAAGCCTGCACACAATATTCCAGGTGCGGGCGGACGATGTTTTTGTATAGGGGGACAAAGACCTCGGGTTTTCCGCACGTCATGATTGCTTTGTTTGCGAACTTCACACATTGGGTGCTGGGTTTGAAGCCCCGCGTTACCACTATCCCTAGATCCTTTGTCCCGTGCACCCTTTATATCGACAGGTTCCTTACTGTCCCTTCGTCAGTTCTGATCGTCAGAATCAGACATCTCGAGACGTTTAGTGTTAGGTCCCATTGTTCGGCCCATTTTTTTACTACCTCTACGTCTCC